CTGAGCTAAATCCCCAGCCCCAACAAAGCACAATTTTAAATAGAAATGTTCCAAAGTATTATAATTCCTAGTTATAAAATGTGAGTTTGTTTAATAATTTATAGGCTAAGAAGCAGGAACATATTCAACCTAGAAATTATTTCTTTTTATAAGAACTTTGTCAAAGATCCTAGTTCAGGAACAAAAAACTAACTATAATGAACTTAAAAATAAATCTGACCCAATGTCACAGTATAATAAGCTACACATTCTATACTGATGAATTCATAAACTATATTATGTATAAGGTACGGCTGTAACATAATGAAACTGAGTTATTACATACATGTACACTAGAAACATATAGTTAAAATAGGGTTTTACTTAAAACTACAGTAAAACCTTGGATTGCCAACAATATGTTTTGCAACTATTCCACAAGACCAGCAATCATTTTTTAAAAATTGTAACTTGGGGCTGGGGATTTAGCTCAGCGGCAAAGCATCTGCCTGGCAAGCGCAAGGTCGTGAGTTCAGTTCCTGGTACCGGAGAAAAACCAAAAAAAACAAAACAAAACAAAAAAATTGTAACTTAATAAGCAAGTGATCAATACGAATAGTATAAAACCCTGAATGTCACATGACCACAACTAAGCCAGGAGTTTCTCTTCTGCTCTCACTTTCGCTTTCTCACTTTTCCTCACCCTTCAGGACTGTGGGAAATCACCTCCCAAAAGCAAAAGCTTATGGAGATCTGTCTACAGAGGAGGTATAAAAAAGTGCAGGAATCCCTCACTTCAAATGAGATTATGGAGATGTAAAAAATGTGTGAAACTGCAAAATTTTGTAGAAAATGTCACCAGTATAAGGCTGTGGTAATGCAAGCCATGAATCTGTCTAATGACAGTATAATGTCCCATTTCTGTGAAATCCTCCAAAGGAGGCAGAGGCAAGTGTCACTGGTCAGTTCCTTGTGAAAGTTGCACAAAAAGATTCCATTTAACTAACAGCAGAGATTCTGTTAGTGAAAGTCATCCTACATGATAACCCTCTTTTCTCTTGTCTCCCTCATACAAGCCAGGAAGGTTTTTAAAGGTAAATGAAGGTTAGTTTGTTTATTTTGCTTTATACTTTGAATTTCCCTTATTATTTTATATTATATTACAGTATTGTAATCTTTTTATATGAATATTTTGGGGCAATGAAATGAATCACCTGTGTTTCCATTCTTTCTTATGGGGAAATTCACTTTACTATACAAATGCTTTGGATTACAAATATGTTTCTGGAACAAATTATGCTTGCAAATCAAGCTTTTACTGTAATTAGTTTCAGAGATTACAAACTCTTAATAATTTTCATTTCTTAAAATATATTTGAAATACCTCATTTGAACTCGTCTTCAAAACTATTTAAGACATAGTTTTATAAATGTTTAACGCTAGGGTTCTAATAGAATTTAAATACTGATCACAGATAAACACTGTTAAGACACTGCAAACTGAATTACCAGCATAAGTCAAGAGACGCAGTATCAGTTAACTGGACCTAAAATAAAAGACAACTGATCTTCTGTTTATAGAACTACTACTAAAACAGAAATCCAGGTTGCAGATATCTTCATCATTAAGACCAGAACAGATGAAGCCAAAATGAAAACTCAAGAAACTCACCATTATACTGTTCCTTAAGCCCCAAGGACCTAGGTAGTTTTCTGCCTTTCCTTCAAATTTCAGAATCTTATTGTTTTATTTTAATTTATATTAACACAATCACTATCAAAATCCCAGCAGATGTTTTGTTGGACTTAAGTGATTCTAAATTCATTTTGAAGCATAAAAGAACTAAGTATAATGAAGAGACCATTGAGAATGGTGGGCATGTGGGACCTTGTTCTAGTAGCAATTCAGTCTACTATAAAGTAGTGAAATAGCACTATTTAGAAAACTAAAGGATGGCACAGAAGGTAAAGTCTACATATATATATATATATATATATATATCACATACATTTGATTTATATCAAAGTAGTCACTGCTGAACATAGTAAGGAGAGAATTCATGACAAATGTGCTACTACTGAGCACAGTGGGGAAAAATGTGAAACCTAATCACTACTTTAAATCACATGCAAAAAAATCAATGCTAAACACTGACATGAAATCAAGACAGTAAATCACAAAATACAGAAAAAGATAACACAGAAGGTAGTACAGAAATTTATCTAAGTAGGACTAGGGAAAGATCTATAGTAGCAAAAAAAAAAGGGCTGTTCATAAAGGAAAAAAATTGGGCCAGGCATGGTGGCACACGCCTGTAACCCCAGTACTCGGGAGGCTGAGGTAGAAGGCTTGCTGTGAGTTCGAAAACAGCCTGGGCTATAAAGTGAGTTCAAGGCAAGCCTGAACTGCATAGCAAACCCTGTCTCAAAGAGACCATACTCATAAGTGAAATAAATCAGACTCGCATATGTAAATATCGTATTGTCTTCCTAATGTAAGAAACTGAAAGAGAAAATAAGGTCCAAAACCTACAATAGATACTGGAAAGGGAAAGAAACTGCTCAAAAGAAAAAAACAACTGGGATGGAGGAAAGGAGAAAAGAAGGAAGGGAAAAAATATATATATAAAAAAATATATATATATGTATAGACACAGAGGGCTAAGATAATTGCACTACTAATTTCTATTAGTTTATTGAAACTAACAGAAATTAGTGCTTATATTGTTTGATCAATCTTCCATGCCTATATCAGGTAATCTGAGCAACTACTTTGAAGATATTAATATGCAAAATAATAACCATTGTTAATTTCCTACCATCTTGTTTTGAAATTATCTTTTTTTATTATTCCCTTTAAAATAAAAAACCAATAAATAAATGAATTAAATAAATAGATAAATTATATCAAAGTGGTACTTCAATATTTTCACTGCATACTTCAAAGACATTCTAACCTTTAAGATTCAAATGTAATCATGAGCAAAATTTATTGATTTATGTTATAAAGCAGAAGAAAACATTCAGAAAATAATTAACAAGCAAAATTGTGCCTCATACCTTTGGGGTCTTGTCACCCATATTTGAATACATTTGTACTATTCTTTTTCCTTGAATTTGGTTATTTTCTGTTTTATCACTTTGTTTCTGATCTCTTTTATCTTCTGTAGGGCTTATTTTCTGGGATGTTTCCACAATAATTGTTCCCAAATTTTGAGACGTCTGTGTTTCAGAATCACTGCTTTTAAAAAATGGGAGAAAATGACAACATGAAATTCAAGAAAAATTTTACATGTTAGTTACTTCATTAAGTTTTAAGATCAAGTAGTATAGTATAGATTGTATATAAAGATGTAAGATTAACTTGGCCATTTGCTAGTCCTCAATGTTAAAAGGAAAAATTAGTTTCAATGTATTTTATAAAATTATAGAATCACCTCGAAAAAATAGGTATCTAATATCAATCACTACCAGCATCACTTCTAAAGAATTTCTACTGATGTTAAATCCAGAAGCATATGCTTTAACACTTTGAGCATGCACCATCTTCTGAACTAGGCCAGCAATATTTGATTTTTTTTTATCTTTTTGAGATATGGTTTCACAATGCTGGTTTCACTATTCATAATTCAGGCTGGCCTTGGACTCACTTTGTTTAATTTTTCTGACAGAAAGTTCCTCTTCAGTACAAAATTTTAATCTCCTAGGCTTTTACTCATTGACTTGTTTCATTCCTTATGGCCATTTATCATTCAATAAAATACTTGTTACCAATCACTCTAGGTCACACACTTTTTCTAGCCACAGGGATAAAGTACTAAAGAAATAAAATAGAAGAAAACCCGAGCCTTCATGGAACTTTTGTCACACTGATGACTGGAAAATAGGTAGGAAACAAGAATAAGTAAAATATACAGTATCATAATAGTGGTGTGTTAAAGAGAAAAAATAAGTCAGGGAACAGAGATTTAAAGTTTTTAGGTGAAGTAAAACATGTGTCTCTATCACATGCATGACCTTTCACCTGTTTTGACACAGTTACGTGTTGCTCAAGACACTGCCTTGCTTACATGTTTCTAGTATACATGCTTCTGAGATACTTTACCACCTCCTCACTCTTAAATGCACACTAGCTTATCACAGTGAGGCACCATGTCCAGAATTTAATTTCATACTGCAGCAACAATACAGAATGAGCGGTACTTTGTAGAAATCCTGGTAGATGCAGAATAAAATTGTGTAACCTTTTCTGGTTATGCACATCACAACGTATACTCATATAATATTTAAGAAAACTTAAAATATTTCTATGTAGATTATTGTAAAACTCTGTTATTTTTCTCATTATGTTGTTGAACAAATAGCATTTGTAACCAAGTAAACCATCTCGTAGACTCTTGTATATCTTCCCAGTATATTCAGATCTTTGCAGATCTTGACTGTATTGTACTTTTCATCTCTTTTAATGCTATGTTATCCACAAACTTGATAAACAAGCTTTATCAGAATCCATATGTACTATATTTACTGTTGTCATATCTTTAAAAAATAACACATTAATCTAATAAGACTTTTCCTTGAAGAATCTGTGCTTTAAAAAATATTCATGAAGTATTTTTATAATATCCGAGATTTTTACTTAAGATTTAGTTCGCAAAAACATGAAGGCAAAAGTTCTTGCTCCCAGTGAATAACAGGCAGTCTGGTGAAGGCAGAACGGAAGGGTGAAAGCAAGGAGACAGGTTAGGAAACTTCATGTAGGACACTAGAAAACTGACCGTGACAGCTTTAATGTTGGCAGTGATAGAAGTGATGAAAAGCGCTCAGATTCTAGAAACTTTTAAAAGAAATACACTAGGATTTCCTGATGGATCAGATACAGACTGGAGTCAAGAATGACTCCAGCCCAAGTTGCTGGTCACAGTAACCACAGTATAAGAATACAGTTGCCAACACATAAGAGGAACAAAAGAGCAGACACAGATTTTGTACGGAGAACATCAGAAGCATGGACTAGATATTAGGTATCTAAATGACGTTAAGCTGACTGTCAGCTTCACAAATCTGAAGTTTAAGACTGACGTCTGGCTGGGATATATGAATTTGAGTGTGACTGATATACAAGTGGCAAAATTTAAGAATAGATTAAGAAAAGTGCTGAGATTACAAAAGAAAACAGAAAAAAACAAAACAAACAAAAAAACAAAAAAAAAAAAAAACAAAGAAGGGGGCCAAAGACTGAGGCTTGTGAAAACTAAGATATTCGGGGAAAAGGGAAATCAACTAATGACACCATAGTTGAATATCAGTGAGAAAATAAACAGTGTAGTGTGGTGAAGCATAAAAATAAGAGGTAGAAATCAACTGGGTAAAATGTTACTGAGAAGTCAAATAAAACAAGAACTGAGGAAATGACCTTTAGATTTGACAGTTCTTGAGAAGACCCATTTTAGAGGGATGATGGGCTAAAAGGAGGTGGAGTAAAAAGGATGTAAAACCTTTCGCAGGGTTTTCTGCTAAGGGCAGTACCAACAGAGGACTAGATGACACCAGAATGCTGAGAGTATAGTGAACCTTTTGGCTTCCAGACATAGTCCTCCTAATTTCTCCCGAGTAATTACGCTCTGACTAATCTGGGTGACACAGCGGCTCCCTTGATGCCTATTAGCATGGAAGGTATCTTTCTTCTTGGCTCTTTCTGCCACCAGAATAATTAGTCCATTGCCCTTAATCCTAGCCTCTTAGAGTCTCAAGACAAATTTTCTGCCAGAGTGTAACACTCATGGACTTCAGCCCACTGCCAATGGAATCTTTGTTCCCAGGTGAAACCCCCTGAATCTGGGCTTTACTGTCACATATCTATCAGCTTTCTGGTGCTCTGAACTCTCATTAATCTATCTAGCCCTGTTTAAAGCATTCTAGGGCCTTTCCAGCCAGCTTCTGCAAATCCCCCTAAAGTCCTCCTACAAACCAGCTCCAAAGGCTTCTAAACCACATAGTCAAGAACAATCACAGTAACAAGCAACTTCTGGCACCAGTTTTCTGTATTTGTCAGTTTTTCTGTTGCTGGACACAATACTCAACACCCACAATTTAAAAGAGAAGAGGTTTAATTTGACTCATGTTTTAGGGAGATTCAGTCATGGTCAGCTGGCTCCAAGGCAGAAACATCATAGAGAAATACATGGTGGAACAAAGAGGCTTTGTCCAGGGTAGCTGGGAAACAAAGCAGCAAAACAGTAACAAAGAGGAAAGGGCAAGGGACTGGACGTACACCCTAAGGCTATATTTCCACAACTGACGCAAACACACTGAGAAGTGTGCTCCACCAATCCTGGAGGTGGATCTCAAAGTTCATCAAGTTGATACTTTATGCTATCTACTACAAAAGTGATCCTTGTCACACCTTTCAGAAGCTCTATAAACCACCCCTTTGTATTTTAATCAACCTTTCAATGGATTGCATTAGTCCTGTATCCATTATGGAGGTAAATTATGCTTTGCCTAAATTCATTGATTTAAAGGTTAATTTCATCCAAAAACATCCTCAAGTTGATAAATAAAATTAACTATCACAGACATACTAAGATAGGCAGAATAAGACGGCAGATTAGTAAAACTGTGCAGTGATGGGCTCCCCCTAGACACACATTATGAACAGTTATTCATACTAAACTATCTTCACAAAAACTAAGGAAGCCAGACAGATCATAGTGCCTGGTTTTAGTATTACAAGAAGAAAACATGCACTAAAAAAGACAGGTAGAGAAGCTGTGTGTTACACCCCCCCATCTTGAATCAACACTAGTTAATGCTGAGATTGTGTGAGTGAAAACACGTTCAGAGGATACAAGCAGAGTGATTAGACTTTCTGGAAAGACAGGTGTAAAAAAGTCAGATTTGGGGCATGGAAAAAGCATTAAATGCTTCAATTCTGAAGCAATCATCACACACCAACAAGAATCAAAGACTTTTCAGAAAACTATGACCTCAGCTAACGGCCAAAATAAGCCTGTGGGAATTAACCAGGTAGTAGTTAGAGTAAGGTAAACAATTCAGTCCTCAGACAGAGAAAATTAACAGGGAGATGGAAGCAATTAAAAAATCACATAGAAATCCTATGAAGTTACCTCAATAGAAAGCACTGATAGTACAACGGGTCAAAAAGAAGAAAGAAGCACTAAGCCTGAAGACAGGCTATGTGGAAATAAAGCTGTGGAGGAAAAAATGACAAACAGGAACGAAGAAAGTTTACAGATACTTTGGGTCAGGATTAAAAGAAAAAATATTCAGGTTATTGGAGCTCAAGAGGGACTTGAGAATGCCAAAGGGAAAAAAGCTTATTCAAAGAGACATCAGAAAAATTCCCAAATGCAGAATGTAAAAATGTCCATACAGAGAATCAGTAAGAGTAAAGGTTACCAGTCAGCTTTAACTCAGCCAACTCTACCCCAAGACACGTTACAGTCAAACTTTCAAAGGTGAAATATAAGAAGATCCTGAAGGCAGCAAGAGAAAAGAAACAAATAACAAATAAAGGTGTCCCAATTCACTTGACAGCAGACCTCCCAGCAGAAACTTTACAGGTCCAGAGAGAATGACATGAGATTCTCACAGTACTGAAGCCAAAAAACCTGCCAATGGAGAAAACCGTACTCAAAAATGGTATCTCTTAGAAAGGACACTAATTCACTTTAAATTATTTCAAAAAAATTAATGAGGAAAGAATTGTTCTAAACATATTCTAAAAAGGCAGCATTAACCTGAGAGCAAAACCAAACAAGGACACAAAAAAAGAAAGTGGCAGGTCACTATCTTTGATTTTAGAGATGTAAAAATATTCAACAAAATACTACTAAACTGAATCGAATAACATATTAAAAAGATAATTCAAAATATGATCAAGTGGAGTTCACCCTAGAGATACAAAAATGTTTCAACATACACAAATCAATACACATGATAATTCTATCAACACAATGAGGAATAAGAGCCACATGATAATCTCAACAGACACAGAAAAGGCATTTGATAAAATTCCACAACCACCTAGGATAAAAATCACTGAACAAGCCATGTATACAATGAACGTATCTGACAACATACAGGCCATTTACATTAAGCTATCAGGTAGCGTTATCCTGAATGGAGAAAAGCTGAAAGCTTTTTCTCCAGTACCTGGAATAAAACACAGAAGTCAACTTTCACTGTTTTTATTCGATATACCACTGGAAGTCCTAG